GTAGCACACATCCATTTTGCCATGCCATCCTTCACCGGCACTCAATCACTTCTCCAAGCTGTCGTGCGGGGCCACGCCTCCGAGAACACGAAGTATCACTGACTTTTCGGCTATTACTTGCTAGGCCTTTCCAAATCGTATCTCGCCTTGCTTTACTCGAAACACAAAAGTACAATTGCTGCCTGGATAGCCAAGTATGAGACTGATGGCACTGTTGTCCGCCAAGATGCACAGCTCAATCTATACCGACGTTTCGACTCCTCCAAACGAGAATGGGGGTTGCAATTGTACGATGCGGAGCCATTATTATACCTGGACGAAGCAGCGACAAGGTTTTGCAAACAATTCGGCCAGACTATAAGCTGTTCAACGCTGTGGGGAATTCTAAACGGTGCTGGTTTGACCTGGAAGGTCCTCGAAAGGCGTGCAATTCAAGTCAGCTACAATGACATACTGCGGTACTGCAATGACCTTGCTCTTGTTCCTTGGCTTCTTCACAACATCGTCTTCTTGGACGAGGTATGCTTCGACAATCGTGACAAGCTGCGTCGTGGTGGGTACTGCCTACGGGGAAAGAAGCTGATTCATCGTGGAGAGTTCTGCCGCAAACCGACCGTATCATTGCTGTGTTTCATTGGCGTAAATGGCTTGTTGGAGACGTTTTCGACGGAGGGCACATTTGACCGCTCAAAGTTCATCAATTGTGTGCGTTCGTTTGCTACGAGTGCAATGTGTTCACAGTATCCTGGACAAACTCGGTGTGGATAATGGATGGCACCAAAATCCATTGCAGCGACAAAATTGTTTACTACTTGCGATCATTGGGTATGACATTTCCATTGCAGCAAATTCAGTTCATGACTCGTCGTAGGGATTGTGCCTTTGTTCCTGCCAGCTTTCTGTCCACTCTTCAATCCCATAGAGATTTTCTTTGGAAATGTGAAAAAGAGATTCAAGCGTGTCTACGTCGAAAACTCCAATACGAGAACTGAGATCGTGATTGCAGAGGTCCTATCAAGGTTTTCAAAAGTTAATTTTCATTCCGCATTTCGAAAGTGTGGCTACGTTAATGATGGTAAATTCAACCCTGGAATAGCAATGGAACAAGACATAGATGCAATGGGGTATGCAAATGTGAGTAGTGATTAATCACAACCAAATTAATATAAAGGTCTATGATCATCATCATCTTGCTGTTATGCGCTATCTAACAATGAGACTCCGTACGGAGACTCTTCAGTACCAAGCGCTGAATTAAATCCAACAATGTTGAATTTGTGTCCACCATTCGCTGAGCTGCCTCCATTTGTGACCCAAGAAATTGCAATTCCACTTGGAACTCGTCATTCTTGCGCTGCAGTGTCCGAAAAGTTGTTTGGAGTTCTTCAATGGCTGCGACAAAATTCCGATTTAAGCCACCGGCAACGTCAAGACCGCGGCGAGCATTGCGCAAAACAATTTCCGGGTGGGATGGACAGTGAGCAAACAGATGAATCAATGTTGGTGGTGGTGGCTCATGGATCAGAATGTCGTGACGGTGCGCGGGAGAACTTTGAATGTAATTTGCCCAGAGT